TGCTGTTGCACTGCGGTTTAGTCCACCACTTGCCTCACCACTTGACCACTTGCCCACTTGCCTACCTTCTAGAAGGTCTACAGCTAAGCTTCCGGGACTCACTAAGACTCCTATGCTATAGACCTACAGATCGAACCCCTGCTGCCTATGGACCTACGACGGGCCTAACAACTGCCTACGAATACACAGGTCACAGGTTCAATTCCCGGGGTCTACACAGATATTGTACATGGGTAGGGTGAGGTCTAGGGATCGAACCCTGGGTACTGCATCCGCTACTGCTAAAAGGTGAAGACCGTTTCATAGATATATATATCTGTTTGTGACGATATATATACATATATCTATGTATGTATGTATATATATTATATGAGTGGGTGAAACTCCCACAAAATAGATTGTCACAGCCCGTCGTTTGTTGAAACTCCCTCTCACCGGACAGCTTTGTTTTTTTTTTTTTTTTTGGGCAGCTCTGTTCGACGATACATATACTATGATTATTATTATCATTACTACGTATGTATGTCTATATGTGTACATAAACGGTGCATGTGTTGGAAACGATGCTATGTGTGAAAGAAGTCAGAGAGGCCGGTTCCAATATGCCTGCCATTCTTCTTCTCCTTTCATCAGTCTGAGACAGGAGGTGGCCACAGGAGAGGGGGGGGGGGGGGAAGGGGGGGGGGGGGGGTAATGTTTTTTTTTTTTTTTTTTTTTTTTTTTAAAAAGAAAGTCCTGGCCTTCAAAATTTCAAGCTTAGGGCCTCCCAAACGACGTAAATCACGCTGTCCCCCCCACAACAGCCGTAGTCAGAGATGGGGTGGGGCCGCCGGTGGGGGGGGGTACGGCTAACGCAAAGACCGAGCACTTTTTTTTTTTTTTTTTTTTTTTTTGTGGCCCGATGGTCCACGGATCAGATATTAAACTGATCAGAACAGATACTACACTTGATCTTAGCCAAAAGGCCGAGAAAGGTATTTTTGGAGCATTTCTCGATTTGTACGTGTCATCCTTGCGCAGGGGGGCCATGCTAATCTTCCCTGGGCCATTTCTCGATTTACGCGTGTCATCCTTGCGCAGGGGCCATGCTAATCTTCTTTCTCTGTATCGTTCGGATTTTAAAGGATGTCCGGAAGGACGACCCAATGCCAAGCACTTTTTGTTGCCAGTAGTTGCGCCTCCCTTTCTCATTGTCCCCCACCCCTCATCGAATAGCAGCAGAGGCTATGGCCAACACTCTCCTTGCAAAGGTCCCCTCCATATCGTCTTAGGAGTAGTGGTATGAAGGTAGTGAGAGGCAAGAAGAATTTGAGATATGAACATAGTGTAGTTCAAAAAAAAAAA